GCATTAGCTGCCTGCGTAGCCACCCACCTGCTGCGGGTGAGCTCTGTACATGCTCCTCCCAAGCACCTTCTACCGCAGTCGGGGCAGCCCAGCTACCACGGGAGACAAACAGTAACTGCTGCTGTTTCTGCTTTGTGCCTGCAGTTGACCACAGCAGAGTGGAGTTGTCCCTGGTTACGTCGGATGCAGATTCCCATTACATCAATGCCAACTTCATCAAGGTATTGCTTCTGTCCTTCCTTCTGGAAGGACTGCGCAGCAGTTTCTGGGCCGTGCTCGAGGGTAACTGGTGTGAAGACGTGTACGATCAGTGCCCCCTTCAACCCCCCCCGCAGCACAGAGGCACTGGGCTACCGAGCAAGGGACGTGTGCTCATGCTGGGCGGGTGGTGGAACAGTTTGTGGCTCACAGCCCCAACTTCCTTGTCAGTGTCCCTGCCCTTGGTGGGTGATGGTGGCCAGAGTCACCGTGCCTGAAACCAGTGCAGACGCAGGAAGCCTTGCACTGCAGCACAGCCGAGACCCGCCGCAGCGGCCAGCAGCGGAGCAGGGCAATCCAGGCTGGCTCTCCATCAGGAGCTCTGTGTGTTCTGGGACTCTCCTCTTCCCCAGACCCTTCTCAGATAGATAGGTGGAAGGTTTCCTTCATCCTCCATCGCAGTGAGCGAGGGTTCTGTGTAACCTGGCTGCAAACAGACCTTCCCAAGGGGATCGCAGCTCTTTGACCGACCGCCACAGCCGTGCCGAGCTGCAGAGCTGGGTCAGCTCTTGCAACATCACCTCCACGCTCCCAAATGCACTGCAGGGACTGGGGGTCTCTGGGAGCCCCCTGGCTTGGGTCTGCCTTTGGGAGGGTTGAACACCATTGGTTTCTGGTTGCTTAATTTAATGTAGATGCCTGAAATTTAACTCTATAAAAGCCCTTCTATATCCTTAATGGGCTCACTGAATAGAAGTAAGATTCAGAAAGAGGAGTGACTATTTCTGCCAGTGAACTATGCCAAGACGCCTCCGTGTCTGATCTGAATGTTGTTTCAGGGCGTCTATGGACCAAGAGCATACATTGCAACCCAGGGTCCTCTCCCCAACACAGTCACTGACTTTTGGAGAATGATTTGGGAGTACGAAGTCCTGGTAAGGTGCAGATTTATATGCCTTTCTTTCTTTTCAACGAGAAAAGTCATCCGTACAGCCAGCTAGAAGTCCTTTTGGACTAAGCAGACAGTGGAAGTGCCAGCGTTTTACTCCAGATGTTGTGTGTGCCCCACATCCTTCCCGTGAGCCTCCTCCACACTCGTGCTGAGGCAGGAGTCTGCTCGTGGCTGTCCCTGCGTTCGGGCTCTGAGGGGGAAAGGTCTTTGCGCCCAGGCTGTGGATGATGTCCTGGGTTTGACCAGCCATGCAGTCTGGGGCCCTGGGGAAGGCGGCCCACAGAGCTTCCTCACTGCTGACAAGTCCCTGCGAGGGATGAGTTTGATTTTGCTGCCTGGATAAGAAACTTGTGCTCAGACTTTTCTAATGAACCTTCTTTCTGCAGATTGTGGTCATGGCTTGTATGGAGTTTGAAATGGGGAAGGTGAGTAACGTGACAGAGGTGGCCTCTGCTGTGGCAGCGCCAGGGCGGGGGGGACAGAGGCAGACCGATTAAATCCCATCAGGAAGGTTCTGTTTGAGACAAGCTGTTTCCCAAGTCTCCAGCTGCCAATGCTTAAACTGTACCTGGTAGTGTAGCCAGCCTCTTTGGGAGGGAAAAGCCAGCAGTGATGGCTCCAGGGAAGGGGAGGCTGGAGCTGGCCGGCAGCGAGAGCCGGGCCTCCTCCCTGCATGAGTTTCCCGCTGCAAGAGGAGACAGGAGACGGGGCGGGTGGCCGGCGGTAAATAACCAAGCATGTCCTGCTGCTCCCAACAGAAGAAATGCGAGCGGTACTGGGCAGAGGCGGGCAGCTCTCCCCTGCAGTGCGGTCCTTTCTCCGTCGCCTGTGTGAGTACAGCTGCCGCGAGCACCGTGGCACACCACGCGCGCTGGAAACTCCCGTCATCCACAGAAAATATGACTCTCACTTCTTCCGCAGGAAGCTGAAGAGAAGAAAAATGAGTATGTGATCAGGACTTTGAAGGTGACCCTGAAGGAGGTAAGTAGGGAAGGTCAAGGCAAGAAATCATCTTGGCTAGCTTTATTATATCAATAATGTATTAAAATGTGGCACCCTGTGCAGAAAAGATTACGCTGCCCAGCCCGCTGGATTAGATTTGACAGCGGCTGAAGGAACAAAGACAGGGGAAAACTAACTAACTCAAAACTGAATTTCTGAAGCTGTTGTTCAGTCATGGCAATTCAGACCCCAGGTAAGCAAGGCCAACAGGTAACGCCTAGAATGTGCTGAAATGGTGCTTCTGTGGCCAGAAGAGCTACAAACAGCACCTCTGACCTTTGGCTACCGATGCAGACGGGAACTGGAGCCATCTGCAGCACAGCAGCTTCCCCTTGCTGTGCCGACATCCTGGTCTGTCCCCATGGGAGCTGCAGCAGCGTCCCCTCGGCGGCACAGACCCTGCCAGCGTCTTTCTCCTCTTGCAGGAAATCCGCACCGTCCACCAGTTCCACTATAAAAACTGGCCGGACCATGACGTCCCCTCGTCCATTGACCCCATCCTGGAGCTCATCGAGGAGATTCGCTGCTACCAGCCGGACGACAGCGTCCCCATCTGCATCCACTGCAGGTGGGTGAGCCGGCCACCGGGGAAGTGCTGCCGGCCCCCCATGCTCTCGCTGCCTGAGTGGCCGCAGCAGGGCTGGCAGCCAGCGCAAGCCTGCAGCCAGGCTCCTCTCCTGGGAAGTCCTACGGCAAAGGTGTCCTCTAGGACAGCCAGCACAGCCGGGTGGTGCAGACAGGTAGCGCCAGGCCAGCGAGAGCATGCATAGTGAAGAGGCCTCCATGGGTAGTTAAGAGACCACCGACACCAGGCATGTCCATGCACGGGCTGTTCACCACCAGACGGAGAGGTGTTCACAGGAGCAGGAGATGTACTTCCAGCCTGCAGCAAAGCTGTGGGCAGGAGGGACCGTACGTTGGACTGGTGGAGGTCCAGCAGGAGCTGGAGGGCCGTGTGTGGGTCTGCACCTCCCACGCTGTGGAGCGGGAGGTCACAGGAGGCCGTGGATTGTTTACAAATGTTCTTGTCAGAAAATACAGCGTGCCCCCCCTCTGAGCTGACTCGCAACCCTGCTGTGACTGTCATTGCAGTGCCGGCTGCGGGAGAACAGGCGTCATCTGTGCCATCGACTACACCCAGAAGCTGCTGCGGGACGGGGTGAGTGTCAGCCAGCCCGCGCCCTCACCCCTGCATCGCTGCCTCTCCCTTGCCTGCTCCCCCCCTGTCCTCCCCTCCACCCCTCGACTGCACGCAGGCATATTTCAGAGGACAGCCGTGAATGGGAGCTCCCCCCCAGCCCAACTGGGAAGTGGCGGGGGCCAAACCGCTGACACCCCATTCCCAGTTTGTGTTGCTTCTCTCTCTTCAGACTCTGCACTGTCCCTTGCCATTGCTTCCCTCTCCATCCCGATGTGAACAGCCCCCGATGCTTGTACTGCTGGGGCAGGGTCCCCCCTCCCACTGCTCCCTCTGGCAGGATTTTCAGATCAAGGGGCTTGGCTCTGCGCTGGCCTCAGTCTTCAGTGCGAGGTCCCTGTCTGTATTTGTCTCCCTGCCCTTAATCAGAAATCCAGGGGTTCCAAATTAGCACCTCACTTTACTCTGGCTTTTCAATAAAAACGTGGAGTAAAATTAATTGAACAGTGGAGCCGGGTCTCTGAGGATCGGCTGTGTTTTGTACTGCAGCAAGCCTGGACCCGCTGGCCTGGGAAATCCATCCCTTGCCCTTCGTGCTATTCACAGCTGCTGCCTGTGCCGTTAGGGAAGGGGATTTTCTGCCAAGTGCGAGCAGGGGGTACCTTGGCTCATGATCAAAAATGGTCCTTTAAGCTGGTCCTTTGTTAAAAATTCCTGCAATAGCAGGCCTGGATGTCAGCTACTGCTCTAAACTGCATCACGACTTGGAAGCTGCTTGGAATTAGACCTGTCCGTAATTTTTCATCTTTTCTCTTGCAAGATCATTCCAGTGAACTTCAGTATTTTCAGTCTGATCCAGGAAATGCGCACACAAAGACCTTCCATAGTGCAGACCAAGGTGCGTTCAGCAAATATCACCAACTGGTGCATTTTCCCTGCTGGGACCTCAGCTTTTCCCAGGAGGGTTCGCAGTAAGGAAAAACAGAGCGGCTGGTGCTGCTGGGAACTGGGGCGTGCAGATGTTCCGAAAGGTCCCTTTTTGGAACAGAAGAATGCCTTTGCAGCCATGAATTTGGTAGCTGAGCATTTCCCCGTAGACAGCTGGAAGAGCTTGGTGCTTGCAGCCCGATTTATCGAACGCTTACACTGTGAAACAAGAGACTGTCCAGGAAATAAAGTGGGAACTCTTCTCAGCTGAGACAGGCTGAAGAGAAAGCTCGATGTAGAACAGCATTGTTTGTGCACCCAAAAAACCCCCAAATGCTTCAGTGTGAACCCTTTGAAATCTGTGGCTTCTACCTTTTCTAAGAACTTAGCCTGCCAGTGGGCCGGACAGCAGCAGCTTCTCTCAGGCTGGTGCTTGATCTGGGTGCAGATGACCATTTACAGGCACTGCAGGGGCTGGCTCTCACGTCCGTTTTATTTGTCTGGAACGCAGGAGCAGTACGAGCTGGTTTACGATGCGGTGATTGAGCTCTTCAAAAGGCAGATTAAAGCACTCAGTGCCCAGGAAGATTCTGCTGCTTCACAGGTAAAAGCCTCAGGATACACACTGCCTCGTGCACCCTTGGGCATGCCAGCTCCAGCCTCGCTCCTACTGCAGAGCTCTCCCAGAATTAATGTTTTCCACTAAGCTTTGTGCCCAGACTGCGCCTCTCTCCTAGTTACCCCATAACAATCCAGCTGAACGTGCAATACTTATCACGGGATTTGGCCCCAAGCGAGAGTGAAGTTTTCTTGGGTCTCAAAACCGTTTTCTGTACACTTTTATAATTGTTTAATGTAGTGAATGAGTAGAAAAGCACCAGCTCTCTCCAGTAGCAGCTGATTTCCAAGTGGAGGTGCCAGTGAAACGTGTCCTCATGGAGTGCTTGCCAGCCAAAGCGTGACTTTCAATGGAGTTTGGGAAGCTTGGGCGCACAAGGCGGCACGGCGGAGTGTTAGTCTGCACTGCGGCAGCGTTCTAGTGAGGCAGTCAGCATTACAGCCTGTCTGTGGGCAGAGTAGGCACAAATACCTTGTGAAAAAACATATCAGAGTCTTTCAAATCTGATATGACTCCAAGGAAAACCAGTGTGGTCTTTGTATGAAGTTGCACAGGGGCAGGAACACCCGAACCATCCATGGTTAAGCTTTCGCTGGTTGCTGCTGTTGTTCTGTGACTGCTGGCACAAGCCTTACGTTGCCTGTGCCGCTGAGTGCGAGCTGGCTGAAGTACTGCCATGGGGCAAGGGCTGAAAGGTTACGGTTAGCTTGTTTTGCCAGAAGCTTTTACCCAAAGGATTGGGAACAGGGTCCTGCAATGGAGCTCATGCCTCAGTTTTGCATTAGGATTTGCAGGGTGTTCCAGGCCAGAACTGGCTGAGAAGGGAGCTGGAAGGAACCTCTCCCTGCATGCTGTGGGCAGTCTGTGAGCAAAGGAGATGCAAGACTAGGTCGACACAAAATGCAAACGGTTCCAGCCCGGATGTGGTTTTGTAGCTCCTGGCCAGACCTCTCGCCCAACTAAACCTCACTGCCCTGTGAAAGCACCGTGCAGCGTGTGGGGGATGGTCGCATGCTGGGGTGTCACCAACAGCATCAGCACCCGGCCGGCCAGGCTGAGAGCCTGCGCGGGGTCCTGAGGGCAGAGCTGCCTGCGCCGGCTCTTTGTGGGTGTCTGCAAGCACTGATGGGTGCGCGGCTTGCTGTCCTCTCACTGCAAAAAGCTGCTGACAGGAATTGCTGTTCTGGAGGTTCTGTCCTCAGTTTGTTTTCAGCTCCAACTTGGTGTTTTCAAGTTGGTGTTTGTCATTTCCAAACTGCATTAATAATTAAAAGTAGTTGGCACAAATTCCAACTCCTGAAATAGCACGTTTGTGTCCTTTGCATTCTTCCTTCTCAGTTGTTTTCTGACCTGTTCTTTCACTAGGTACAAACAAGGCATCCTGTGGCCAAGCCGCTTCTGACTCCCGTGGAAGATATTTATTCTCTGAGACTACTAACCTGGTAAGGCCGCAGCACAGGTATCCCTGGGTTAGCAGTTACAGTCCCCCATAGGATTTCAGGGAGATGCGTTATTTTACATGTGCTTTGTGACAGTTCTGTTTGAATGTTGCATTTGTCATCAGGATCTGCAGCCCCCCAGGTCCCACTTTGCCTCCCACATTTGTTCCTCATTTTCCCTGCATGCTGTGATCTGTCCCCCTCCGCTGCCCTTGGCTCTGTTTCAGGTTGTGCTTACACGAGACACCCCTGAGCTGGTTCCTCCAGCCCTCTGTCCGGAGCTGTGCACCCCGACCGGTCCCCTCCTTCATCGGCACATCCCACTCTGGTGTCTCTTGCTGTAGGAGCACAAGCTGGAGGAGTCTAGCTTCCCAGCATGGGCAGCTTCGGAGGGTGGCAAGATCTTTCCGTGGGCATGTTTTGGTTTGCAGCATCTGCTTTCTGTAAATAATGTCACTTTTTGGTGTAGTCTGCACTGAGGGTGTAGTTTACTGTGTAAAGGGGCCTCTGTTCACCATTTAACGGTGATGAAACAGGGTACCAGGGTGTGCAGTCCTTCCCTGTGCTCCTTGCTTGAGGCTGAGCTGGGCTCTGCGCGCCTGGGGGATGAATCTGCTCTAGGAGCATGTGGTGGGGCCTTGTTAGTAAGGCCAACGCAGATTTCTGAGTGCTAGATGGCTTTGATTCCACATCACGGTGCTTCATTGCAGCTCAGAGCAAGAGGAGCAGGATGTGCATCACCATCTTCCTCCGGTGGTACGAAGAAAAGCATCCCTGACATCGTCTGCCACAGGAGCACACGAGAGCTCTGGACGCGGCGCCCCTCGCATCAGACAGGCCATCTCCTTTGGCACTTTGAACTTCTTCAGCTGCAGGAAAGCAGCTGCCACTGAGACGTGGGGTGTGGGGGACGCCCTTCAGAAACGCTGCAGTTGGGAGTTCAACAGCGTCTCTCCTGAGCAGCTGCTCCTGAACGTGGAACCGAAGGGAGCGGGCAGGAGAGGGCCTCGTGGCAGAGCCCTGCTGACACGGACAGCATCAACCCCTTTTGTGCTGGCGCAGTGGGGAGGAGGCTGGGAATGGGATGGAGGGGATGCAAAGCCTGTTCTGAGCGCGCAGTTGCCCAGTGCCTGCTACATGGGTGTCCAGGTGAAGCAGCAGGACGGATTTTCCCCCGTCGAGCTGAGCCACTCGAGCCAAGAAGGGGACGGCGCCCCAGGCTGCAAGAACCGTGGGCGATGGCCTTACCCTTACTTCTGCTCGGCAGAAGACCCCTACTTCTCTCCAACCTCCCCAGACGACCCCGCGTCCCCGGTGTTTGCTGAGTGCTTTGT